CGACATTTGAATGACCCAAACCTTGGTGTGAAGAGCACTTTAAGGTCGGCATTTCGATGATCAATCCCTTAGTGTGAAGAGCACTTTAAGGTCGACATTTGAATGACTCTTAAAAGCCACCGAAAGTGGCTTGGCAGCTGTACCCAACATAACTTTCATATCAGTCTCAACTTACGTCTCAGGTTTTGGTAATCTCAGTAGTCAGTTCAAATATGTTTATACATTTTGGGATGCATATTACTACATTTTCAAATCAGAGGATAATTTTGTTTTTTTGTTGAACTAAAGCTAAATTTTATAAGCTGCAATATATGGCACTTATAATTTAATTTCTGATTCTTTTCCCCATCTGTGAGCTCAAGCCCAATGAGATGCTGATTCGTAGTAGGAACTGCATAAGCTCAATCTAACTTAGACACCAGTTATAAAGATCATACCTTGTTTAGAGATTTCAAATGTAGTGTTCAGGTTATGACAATTGAGGACTATCAAAGGTTGTGATTCATGTTTAGGCGTGTATAATTTGATTATTGTAAAATGTTACAGTGACTGAACATTTCATGTGACTTGGATCCAATATACAAATATATTGTATGATTTATGAGAAAATACCCTACCTTTTTCCTAATTTCTCCCTTGAAGCCAAGTCCAATTCAGCTTTTCTGTCACTTTTATTTGTTCATGTTCGTGTTCTTATCATAGTATTCTGTCTTTTTTGGCTTATTCACCTAGGCGCATATGGGGTCTTTGTGATTTTTATGTAACAAAGATCCTGTCTAGCATCATATGAGACCTGAAATGAGGATTAAAGTATGTGGGTTTATTTCCTTATGTGTTTTATATTGTGATTATCTCCTGAATCTGCAGTATGAAAAAGGACAGTTCAAATGTGGAGGATCAAATGCATGCAGCCTCATCTACATGAGTTGAGAAGAACTCACGATCACAAGACTGCAACCTTATTGTTGCACCTAGGCTGATCTTCTTAAATTAGTTATATAATCAAATATAGAACCGACGATTACCACATACGCATATAGGTTCTGGTTTTCCCCCTACTCCCTAGCCATATAGGCTGTTGCCCAACTTATTGTAATGGATGATTACGACACCTAATCAAGTAGGTTAGGGCTGTTCATTGGTTTGGATAATCAGATAAACCGCAGAGTCAAATCAAACCAATTAATGAACACACCTCAAAGGATACCTTAAGTATGCTCATCTTTATACCTACACTTGATTCCAAGACTAACTTAAACATCAAAGTGTCTTTAGGTACCTAACCTTATCTATCTGACTAGAAGCTCTGTGATTAAGCAATCTCAAGACCCGCGTCAGAACTGTATGGTATAGTAAACAATTTAACATTGTCCTTTAAATTTATTTACAATATCTAACATTTGTCAATTATTCATAGAAATATAATCATCTTAGAAACGTGTGAAGTTAACGTTTGTGTTGTGTTCATGTATATGACCTCTTGTTATGTAATTGATTGTGGAAAAGAGGACTAATTGTATGTTAGTAGTTTTGGGGTGGAAGCCACGATACAGAATGGTTCACAAAGGAATAGAAAGTAAATTTCTATATGTTTGAATGCTTGATGGGGGATACAAAGGAATGATCATTGGTGGAATGAGTTTGAAATGTAATATAGCATCTATATAAGGAAAGGATTATGGCTGAAGGAAAAAAATGAGTGTCCGATTGTGTACTGATCTCGTTAATACATTTTTTATTTCATAAATGGATCATAGTGGCTTAGGTATCGGATTCAATTCTTCTGTCTTGGTTTGCAATAAGAAATGACAAACTTTCTTACTTTTTAGTTCAATATATTAGTAAAGGGCTAACTGCCCCCATTCTTGAACACTTGAATCTCAATATTGTTTTAATAGACAATGTCTCAGTGGCTTCTGTCTCTTGTTGAGTTATTGACTTCTTTCATTTTCCTTAATAATTTTATGTGGTGATGTTATTTTGTTTATAGTTGTGAGGAATGTACCATGGACTCATTTAGGAGTCAAGTTTATATTTGAACAAAAAATATTCATATTTTTAACCGTTAGTTTTTCTCTCACCATATGTCTTCCTTCTGTTTGTTTGTGTTCTGCCATGAATTTTTGGTTTTATGATGACAGACTTAAGGCTCAATGAGTTGATTGTTACTGATATGATCCGGAATTAGTTTTATAAATCTTGATTTTACATAATTGATTTTGCTTAAAAAATTAAAATGAAGTGATGATTCATGTTTGAAAAATTTTATCCCAAAAGGAAGTAGAGTAAAACTTTGTGAGAATTTCTCAACTCAATCCAAAAAATACTGTTGTTTTTACTCTCATCACACTTACTATCGGGAGTAAACTTGGTTTTACTTGGATGCAACCAAACACACAAGAAAACTGCAAAAGCGGGTATATGTACTTCAAAAGGAAGTTTGGGGAGCCTTACCAGTGAGTAAATATCAATTCTCTTTGAGCCGAAGCAAAGGACGATATTATGGGTATCAGAAAAGAAAGTTGTCAAGTGTTTTTAGGTGATCATTTGGTTATCTATGTAAAGCAGCTCCGACCCAAATTGAACTGTTTATTTACCTGACGTTCTTCCGTGTGTTGGAAGAATTGAAGAAAGAGAATAATAATGATAATAATACTAATAGAAAAGGTGGCCCTCGTCAAGATTCTGTTTGCTTTCCCGTAACTTTTGTTTATTCTTTGATTTGGATAGCACTCACAAGTTAGAAAAGAGAACAAAAAAGAATGCTGCCTACCACTAGGTGTTATGCGCTGTCAGACAAAGCCTCTCACCTAATCAAGTCTTCTTTTTTTTTTTTTTCAATTTTTGGTGGGGGGATTCATCTATTAATTTCTTGTTTGTTTTTCTCTCGCCATTTCTTCGTTGTGTATCCTTGTTGTATTCCATGCACAGTAACAGGTAGGTCCAATTAGAGCTACCAAATCGAAAAGGCCTCCCTCTTTCTTACTTTCTAAAGCATTGGAACTGATGAGAATCACTTTAGTGAAAGCAATGTGTTTGTCTGATTGATCATTTGTTGGATCGGTGTGATTTAGAATTTAGCTAATGTGGTGCTATGTTACCTTTGCTTTTTCCCCAAATTTTCTTATTCATGCACTTGCAAGTTGCAAGTTGCAAATTCAAAGTTGCCCAAACCCTCCATGCAACCCCAAATTTTGCCTCTCAACATTAAACTTGCACTGTCTTATGTGTTCTTGTTTGTTTACAATTGGACAAGGGTGGGAGACTTGATTACAATTAGGTTGTGGGTCCTAAGTTTATTGTCTGTCTTACAAAAGAAGTTGAAACTCATGGCGGCCAGAGATTTTTGCAGGAGTGTTGATTTAGGATACCAATGATGTGTGGATTTTGCCAGGTGTGAATACAGCTGATGTCAGTGTTGAAAAATGAAAATCATGCACCCTAGAAATGTCTTTTCTCTATTAATCAGACTAGCTTTTGCTCCCTAAACAAATCTTAAAACACAGATTCTGTCTTTATAGAAAGCTCTACTTGCAAATCAGTTCTGCTTTTGGCAGTTCTTCCCGTGATGCCGTTTCTACTTTCTTGTACCTAATTGAACTTACCTTTTCTACATATGATCCAATATGGTCTTGTTTGGTGGCGTAGAATTATAATTTTGGTGAAATCTGGCTTGGTAACGTGATAAACGTTGGGTTTAGCCTCTTCTAGTTTATGGAAAATAGAGATTGCATTAACTTTTTATATATTTTTTCTTGAATTAGATAAATTTTACATTGAATTATAATCGATTCATGATGATCCGTGAGAATGTAGTAAAAAAGATATTTTATCCATGCGCGACTAATTTAGTGAGAAAAAAAAATAATCCATATATTATTAATTATTTTTTATGAATGAATATCCCATTCGTGTATTTAAAGTATATTATGTTTTATCTTTTAAAAATATTTTTATAAAATAACGTTTAATAAATAGTGTCAATGGGTGGGTATACAGACCGATTCGGCCCAGTCCATAAAACTCGCGTTTTATACGGGTCGAATAAGTCCAGTCCGTAAAATAAATAGACTTATTTTTTAAGTCCGTATCCGGCCTGCCAAAATTCGCGAATAACGGACCGGTTCGCGGGCTTAAATAATGGCTCAAAAAAATAAATTTTTAAAAAATAAAAATACATAAAATTAGAAGAAAAAAATATTTTTTTTTATTTATAAGCTAAATTTTATCATACTAGTTAAAATGGTTTAAAATACTAAATATTAAAATATTAAAATAAAAATAATTACAAATATTTAAATAGTACCAAACTTTCAATAATAAAAGTATCAAAATGTCATAAAAATAATTTAAATGACAAATACATACTAACTAATCATAATTTTAATGTCATAATAATTTAAAAAATTAAATAAATAACTTAATATTAAAATCGTAATATTTAAAAATATTAATTAGTGAAGTTCGCGGACTAACCCGTAAAATCACGGATTAAATTTGTCAAGTCCGCAAATTTCACGGACCGAACTCAAAAATTAAACATAATCATACAAATTTAAAATAAAATAAAAAAAAAAACCATTATCCACAAAATTCGCGAGCTTACAAACCGGTCTGAGACCCTTAGAAAATCTAATTTTTTAATGCACGTCTAATGACAATTCGTGTGTTTATTCACATGTCTGTGATCATTAGTGTTGAAACGGACATTCAAACACAGTATATAGCCTAGGATTTGTCCTTTAAAATTTTTGTGTTCCACCAATGAACTTTAGATTACTTAATGGATTGTAAAAATATGCTAAATGGTTCATCATTCATCCATTAAAATAGTGATCCAATTTAACTAATCTATTTTTTTAATAATAGATGGATTGGTTAAAGATGGATGAATTGACTGATTAGTAAAACGGGACTGAATTGTCAGCCGTGTAATTATTAGTTTGCTAAGATTGGGACTTCCAAATCTATATCCTTTATTTTATGGGTTTTTTTTTTTTTGACAGGGGCATATATCCTAAAAATAATTTTATTTTTAAAATATAAGAACTTTATAAGAATGTATAGATGGTTAACATTAAAAAGGCCAAAAGGTCACATAATTATTTTAAAAAATATTCATATATCTTTTAATTTTAAATATTCAAATAAAGTTTAATAATTAATATTTATTTTTTTATTTTCATAATAATTACGTGTTGTGTCACCTGAGGAATTATTTGTTAACAACTGTTAAATGCATTAAATACTTGTAATATAATTTTGTTTGTTTCCTCCCATCTTGACAAAACCCTTTTCTATAATTTACATTTCATGGTTGTAACATGAGGGGAGTGCTTGATAACCAAATGGGGAAGTTGGATTCGTGGGATATCCATTCGAAAATGATTAGTGTTAGAAAACAAAGTGAGCCTTACCCAGAAAGATGCTTTTGCAAGGAAGTCAGCGACAGGAATAATTATGTCCCATGCCATGCAAGCTTATTGAAGACTTATTCTTACGCAATATCTTAGGGTTCACGTTGCTTCTATCTATCAAGAGCACATGGATAATGGATTCATGACATATTGACATGTCACATTGTTTTCACAAAAATGACGCCCCTTGCCGTAAATGCTCTGTTTCTGAGTTCTTAGATCTGGTGCTTCCCTAAATCATGGTTTCACGAAACATATTGCGTCTCAAACGGAGATCTCCATATGTAGCTGTCTACAACTGGGACATGTCTGTTCCCTCCTGTAATCTCATCTTCTGCCTATGTTTGGTTTTGCATTAGGAACACCCAACTCCTGTTTCAACATGTGTAATGTGATTTTGTTGGGGAAAAAAAATTGTTTGAATGGTTTTAATTTTAACCAAGTGTGTCTGGATCAGATTCATTTTTCCAATTCCTCTTTGAAAGCCAAAACAATAAGTAATTTTTTCACTGTTTCACCTTGTTTTTGGGAGGCTAACATTGATTCTGATAAACGCACTATAAAAATAAGTTCGTTTTTAAACGCACTTTGGTATATGTAAAAAGAACTACAGGAGTGGCATATGAGTCTGTTTGAAAAATAAATTAGACAAGGTTGGCCCAAGCATAAATCAGTCCAAGCTCTAATTTTAGGTCTCCAAAAATATTTTAGGCTGATCCCGTATAAAATACACCTCCAAAATATTTTCTCTACTTATATGTAAACACCAATTTTATTTTTATGGTCGGCCAATGGGAGACCACCACGGTACATAGCCCTCCATGATTGAGCACTAAGGTGCGAAGAGCATGTTAGATCGGTATTTTACTGACGTGCCTTGGATCGGCCAATATGGTCGGCCAATGGGAGACCACCACGGTACATAGCCCTCCATGCTC